ATGTGCTTGGGTGGCTGAAGGGCGAGGGTGACATTTAATCACAAAGACAGGGAGCACAGGAGGAGGCGCAGTTCTTAGCGGGATTGTGGTGGGACCCATGTTGCATTTGCAGCGTTTGTGAAGTGTGCAGGATGCTTGCTGTATGCTGCAGGGGGCTGACGCTCAGGGACAAGTCTGGGCTGGAGACTCAACATGTGGTTGGCAAACAGAGCCCCGGGAGTGGTTGCGATAGGCCGGGGGAGGGTGAGTCTCTCGGCTGCCGGGAACGGGGATGACACATCTTCTGACGTTCGTTTTCTATTTCCCTCGAGCGCCAATCGTCATCACACAAAACGCCCTACGTCGACGCTGCCAAATCATGCTTTTTATTCCTCACAGCTCCTCCCAACTTCCCGAGACTGCGGACAGAGGGAGCTCAACTCCCTTCCCTGCCCGGACGGCTCTCACCGCAGCGACGTCACGGAAGAGGCGGGATTCGGAGGCGGCCGCGGCTCAGGCTGCGGGGGAGACCCCGAGCTGCGCGGCCCCACCCCGGGCGGTCCGGTCCGTGCCCGCCGGTGCCCGCAGCCACCGCCCTAGGCCAGCTGGAGCAGGCTGCGCTCGGCCAGCAGGCTCTGGGTGCGGTTGTAGACATCCTCCAGAGTGCCCGCGGCCCGGGCCAGCGCGGCGCGCGCCTCCGCCTCGGTGGTTCCCGGGCAAGCCAGCTCCAGCAAGCGGCGGCGACCCGGGAAGGCGAGGAAGGCGAGGCGGGCGGCTTGACGGACCAGCCAGGGGTGGTGCGGGCCCAGGGCCACGCCGTAGGCGTCGCTGCACTGCGCGCCGGCGTCCGGGCCTCGCAGCGCGCCGGTCGCCACCCGGTGGAGGCAAAGCTGGGACCAGCGCAGCGCGCGGTGCAGCAGGAGCAGCGTGCGAGAGCCCGAGCTCCGGGCTGGGTCCCGGGGGGCCGCCCCCGGCAGCTCCAGCAGTCCCGCCCGCCGCTCCCACGCCGCCATGGCCACCAGCGACAAGTAGTGCTCCGCGTCCGGGCCGTGCACTCGAGCCTCCAGGGCCGTCACCTTGGTGAAGGCCTCCTTAGAGGCGAAGGCGAAGACAGAGCCAAGGGGAGTCAGGAACCTGCGGGCGAGACCAGTTGAAAGAGGGCGATGGAGCCGCCAAGGAGGCCGGGACCGGCTGGGGGGCGGGAAGCCACTCACTCGACGAGTGCCTTCCATCCCGCCAGGTACGGCGACAGCCCCACATCCCCTTCGGGGTTCAGACTGGCGTGGAACGGCCTCATCATGCGGCCCAGCATCCCCCGAGGGCCCAGACACGGAGGCTCTTTCCTTTCCGGGGCCTCCAGGGATCCCGACTCCTGCCGGACCTGGTGGGGAGACACGATGGGAAGAGTTGGGCCGATTCCGCCTCGAAGACGTTGTTCCAAAGGTTTAGCCGGTGTCCCTCCTCCTGTGCGTTCAGCTTCCAACCGGAGGGGGGAGACCGGGGGCGGACCAGCCCTTCACTGTACCCTTAGCCTGGCTACACGCCCCCCTGTTCGGGTCCCATCTGGAGTGCTCGCGCCCGGCTCTGCGAGGAGCGTACCTGGAAGGGCGCAGTTCCCCCTGGAACGCAGGCCTGTGCCCCGAGTCCGCAGCCCGAGCGGGCGCCTGGCAGAGGAGAAGCGGAGTCGTGAGGGCCTGGACCCCGGGGTTCCTCCCGGAGCAGGCGAGGGAAGGGACAGCTCACCGAGGCTCCGAGCCCTGAGATAAAGCAGCAGCAGCGTGAAAATAACGAGAGGAATTGAGAGGCGGAACCAGTGCCGCGGGGCCGTGGGCCGCACCGCCACCCCCATGGCTGCCGCTGGGACCGCCGCCCCTCACCAACCCCTAGCCTGTCCGTGTCCCTCCGCCTCCAGGAGGGAAGAGAAGCCCGCAGTGCCCTGAGGAGCAGAGGGTTAATAATTAACCCGCTAAGTCCCCCTTCCCCAGTGCCCTTCGCCCCAAAGGGCAGCTACTCTGGGTGCCAGGAACCGAATGGAGGGAATTTGGGGGATTCGACGGCAGTGACAGATCTGTGCATTTCCCTTCCCTGTAGGGCCAATTATAGTTAACAGGCACTCTGAGTATTGGGAAGAGAGGCAGGGTCAGAACAGCTCCCCTACTGAGCAGTGGTGTGGGCCCCACATTCACTCTGGGCTTGAGTTCCCTCCACTGTAAATTGAGGATGATAATAGGTACTTTGCAGGCCTCATGTGAGGATTAAATGATAATGTATGAGAAAGCCCTAAATGGAAAAGCTGACCACAATTGCCCTACAATTTTTTTTTTTTTTTTCTTGTGATGGACCTCAGAGTTGATTTTTTTTTTTTTTTTTTTAAACGGAGTTTCACTCTTGTTGCCTAGCCTGGAGTACAATGGCGGTGATCTCAGCTCACTGCAACCGCTGCTTCCAGGTTCAAGCAATTCTGCCTTAGCCTCCCGAGTAGCTGGGATTACAGTCATGCACCACCACAACTGCTAGTTTTTGTATTTTTAGTAGAGACGGGGTTTTACCATGTTGGCCAGGCTGGTTTTGAACTGCTGAACTCAGGCGATCCACCCGCCTCAGCCTGCCAAAGTGCTGGGATTACAGGCGCCCGGCCATCTGTAAATCTTAAGTACAAGCACCAGGTGCTTCTGGGATCCAGAGAACACCCACTTCAAAATTCTCTTTCTTATCCCCAGGGGACTTTGTCTTGATCTGGATACCTGACCTCTCTCACTCATATGCGTACATCAGGCTTTATCCTTTTACATTTTTGTTGTTTAATTTTCAAAACTCCAGCCTGGCTCTTCAATCATTAATTGCACCAACTTTTATTAAGTACTTCTGCATGTACTGGGCTTCCAGAATACAAAAGTGCCTTCACAGAGCTCAAGGTCCACTGGGGGAGAATTGATCCTCTGTCTCTCTCACTGGAATGTGAGCTCTGATGACAGGGGCCTTGTTTTTCTTGGTTGCTTACAGCACTTGGAATATTGCTTAAGCCAAAACACATTATTGCTAAATAAATAGGTATTGAATAAACAAAGGAGTGTGTATGAGGGCAGGTGAATCAGGGGTTGTGGCCCCCTAACACATTCAGCCAGGCTTTTTTTTAGGCCAGGCACGGTGGCTCACACCTGTAATTCCAGCACTTTGGGAGGCAGAGGTGGGCGGATCACCTGGGATCAGGAGCTCGAGAGCAGCCTGGCCAACAAGGCAAAATCCTGTCTCTACTAAAAATATAAAAATTAGCCGGGTGTGGTGGTGCATGTCTGTAATCCCAGCTACTCAGGAGGTTGAGGCAGGAGAATCACTTGAACCTGGAAGGTGGAGGTTGCGGTGACCCGAGATGGGGTCACTGCAACTCCAGTCTGGGCAACAGAGACTTCATCTCAAAAGAAACAAACCGGTCAGTCTCCGTGGCTCACACCTGTAATTTCAGCACTTTAGGAGGCCGAGGTGGGCAGATCACCTGAGGTCAGGAGTTCAAGATCAGCCTGACCAACATGCAGAAACGCCATCTCTACAAAAAAATACAAAATTAGCCGGTCATGGTGGCGCATGCCTGTAATCCCAGCTACTCAGGAGGCTGAGGAGAATCACTTGAACCTGGGAGGCAGAGGTTGTGGTGAGCCAAGATGGCGCCATTGCACTCCAGCCTGGGAAACAAGAGCAAAAACTCCCTCTAAACAAGCGAACAACAACAACAACAAACCCAAAAACCATACTTAGCCAGGCTATTTTGCTTTTTGTTTTGCAAACTAGGAGTCCACCTGGTGGTCACAAGGGGAAAGGCATTCAGGGAAAGGATACCAGGATACACAAAGTAATGGAAGAAAGAGCATTATCTTCTTAGGGGTTCTTAGTTTCCTGTCCCCAAACTTTTTAGAATTACTTCTGTTAGTCCAGGCCCAGTGCCTCATGCCTGTAATTCCAGCACTTTGGGAGGCCGAAGCAGGCTGATCACGAGGTCAAGACACTGAGACCATCCTGGCCAACATGGTGAAACCCTGTCTCTACTAAAAATACAAAAAGCCGGGTGTGGTGGCACGCGGCTGTAGTCTCAGCTACTTGGGAGGCTGAGGTAGAAGAATCACTTGAACCTGGGAGGCAGAGGTTGCAGTGAGCTGAGATCACACCACTGCACTCCAGCCTGGTGACAGAGCAAGACTCCATCTCAAGAGAAAGAAAAGAAAGAAAGAAAAGAAAGAAAGAAAGGGAGGGAGGGAGGGAGGGAGGAAGGAAGGAAAGAAAGAAAAGAAAGAAAGGAGAAAGAGAAAGAAAAGGAAGGAAGGAAAGAGAGAGAGAGAGAGAAAGAAATAAACAATTCCGGCCGGGCGAGGTGACCCAGCATTTTGGGAGGTCAAGGTGGGTGGATCACCTGAGGTCAGGAGTTCAAGGCCAGCCTGGCCATCATGGTGAAACCCCATCTTAAAAAAAAAAATTCCTATTTGTATATATCTTCTTTTAAGGTTCTAAGGTGGGGATGGGTGTTCTGGATTCTTAAGGTGTTAGGTGGGGTTCTGATCTCTAAGAATACCTCCCAGAGGAGACTTCTGAGCTGACAGGAGGTTTCTCAGCTTCTCCAGTTGGTGAATTCTTGCCCTGTCATCACTCTGATGTCCCCTCACATCCTGGAGGTCTCTGGGTTGCTCTTGACCCATCCTGCCCTGGTGGGACTCCTGTGAGATCACTTCCATCCCTAGCCCTGGTCTCCGCTCCCACTCCTGGAGTATTTCCCAGCTTTCTTGGCTGTAAACCTAAGGCAAATCGCTTGCCATTTCCCTCATCTATAAAATAAGAAGAGTCATTCTCACCTCCTAAAATTGTTATGATGGTTAAATAAAATACGTCTACAAAGCGCTAAGCATAATTCATAGCCTATAGTAAAGGTTCAGTAGGTGATGGTTATTTCAATTTACCCTCTCTCACTGCTCCTTCTTCACTAGCTCTGGGAACCTCTGCCTCTGGGAGCAGGAAATCGAGTCTGCTGGGTTCCAGGAGTGGATTAGTTTTGGGATTCACTTAATCTGAGAGGCTGTTTCGCAATCGGATCCCTAGGAAGGGCCAAACTGATAGAAATCTGTTTAGGAAGCCTGATTCACAGAGGCTGCAGGATGGAGCTGGGCGTCAGAGCCAAGCTGCTATTGCTGCTGCTGCTTCTGCAGGCGACATGTTTCATATGTGCACAGGTAGATGAGCAGAACGGCTACACGGCGGTCATTGAAGTGACCAACGGAGGTCCCTGGGGCGACTGGGCCTGGCCTGAGATGTGTCCTCAAGGATTCTTCGCCAGCGGGTTCTCGCTCAAGGTTGGAGCTCAGGCCTAGGTCCTGGAGAGTGCAGAGATGCTTGGGACTACCCAGCCAAGGATGGCAATTCCGTGACTCCTCCTTGCTCCTCTCCTCGATACCCAGGTGGAGCCTCCCCAAGGTGGTCCTGGCGATGACACTGCATTGAATGGGATCAGGCTGCACTGTGCGCGCAGGAACGTCCTAGGAAACGCGCACGCGATAGAGTCCAAGTCTGGAAGGTGGGGCACAGGGGTCAAGGATCCCCTGGGGTGATGGTATGTCCCTTACCCTCTATGACACATTCCATCGCGACAGGAAGGCTGGCTCCTCCAGAGCTACTGGGCAGTATAGTCTAATATAAACCGGAGCTGGGGGTGGATGGAAGACCTCTCGGCTGCTCGGCGGAGGTCAGGGAGTTAGAGCCAGCCCACCAGGTCAGGTAGAAAGCACTTGACTTGGAAAGTCTAAGGGTTTGGTGAATGGGGGCGCCTGCAGAGCCAGTACATCTCCCTTTCCCTTGCAGGTGGGGCGATTGGAGTGAGCCATTGTGGTGTCCGGGCGGCGGCTACCTGGTGGCTTTCTCGTTTCGCGTGGAGGCACCTCTCCCCTACGGTGACGACACAGCGGCGAACAACGTGCGCTTCTGCTGTTCAGACGGCGAGGAACTGCAGGGGCCTGGGCTGAGCTAGGGAGACTTTGGAAACTGGAGTTTCCCTTGCCCCAAGGGTGTGTGCGGCCTGCAGACCAAGATCGAGGGGCTTAGAGGCCCCAGCGATGACACTGCGCTGAACGATGTGCGATTTTTCTGCTGCGGCAGTTAAGCGTGGCCACCGCCGCTCTCTCCTGGGCCAGGAGGCTAGTCCCACCTCCTGCTATTAAAGCTTCTTCAAGTTGACTTTGGTTTCACCTGTTTTGGGGATTGAGAACTGAGTTTCCTCTTTCCCTCCTAACCTAGCATTGGGCGAGGGATACATTTGAGTTTGGTCTCAGGGGTCCATGGTAGACTGCTGAAAGTTATGGACTGGTAGTCCAGAAAAACACACTTAAACACATAATTATCACATAAGTGATGGAAGTCTGGCTTTCTTCTTCTTCTCCTTCTTCTTCTTGTTTTTTTTTTTTTTTTTTTTTTTTTTTTTCTTTTAGAGGAGTCTTGCTCTGTCGCTCAGGTTGGAGTGCAGCGGCATGATCTTGGCTCACTGTAACCTCCCCCTCCTGGGTTCAAGTGATTCTCCTGCCTCAGCCTCCTGAGTAGCTGGGACTATAGGTGCCCGCCACTATGCCCGGTTAATTTTTGTATTTTTAGTAGAGATGGGGTTTCCCCATGTTGCCCAGGCTGGTCTCAACCTCCTGACCTCAGGTGTTCTGCCCTCCTCAGCCTCCCAAAATGCTGGGATTACAGGTGTGAGCCACCACACCTGGCCACCTAAAAATCTTACTAAGTTCAAGCTCCAGGCACCTCTGGGATTCAGGGAGGACCTGCTTCTAAATTCTCTAATCCCCAGGGAACTTTGTCTTGATCTGGATACATGACCTCTCTCAATCATATACATTTGTCAGGTTTTATCCTTTCACATTTTCTTTCTTTCTTTCTTTCTTTTTTTGAGACGAAATTTGGCAATTGTTTCCCCTGCTGGAGTGCAATGGCATAATCTGGGCTCATCGCAACCTCTGTCTCCCAGGTTCAAGCAATTCTCCTGCCTCGGCCTCTGGAGTAGCTGGGATTACAGGCATGCACCACGACACCCAGATAGTTTTGTATTTACTTTTAGTAGACAGGGTTTCTCCGTGTTGCTCAGGCTGCTCTTGTACTCTCAATCTGAGGTGATCCGCCCTCCTCGGCCTCCCAAAGTGCTGGGATTATAGGTGTGAGCCACTGCATCTGGCTGTGGTTTAATTTTCAGAACTCCACACTGGCTCTTCAATTCTTCAATCGTTCATTTCACTAGTCTTTATTAAGTACTTCCGCATGTACTAGGCTTGGAGACTACAACAATGTCTTCACAGAACTCAGGGTCCACTGGGGGAGAATTAATCCTCTGTCTCTTCACTGGAATGTGAGCTCTGATGACAGGGGCCTTGTTTTCTTTGGCTGCTTACAGCACTTGGAATATTGCTTCAGCCAAAACACATTATTGCTAAATAAACAGGTAATGAATAAACAAAGGAGTGTGTATAAGGGGCAGGTGAATCAGGGGTTGTGGCCCCCTAACAAATTTAGCTAGGCTTTTTTAGGCCAGGCACAGTGGCTCATGCCTGTGATCCCAGCATTTTGGGATGCAGAGGTTGGCAGATGACCTGAGGTCAGGAGTTCCAGAGCAGCCTGGCCAACAAGGTGAAACCCTGACTCTACAACAACAACAACAAAAAAGGCCAGATACAAAGGAACATACACTCTATGATTCCTTTTGTGTAAAGTGGGTAATAGGCCAAACTACTTCATTGGGTTAGAAGACAGAATAGTGGGGCGCAGTGGCTCATGCCTGTAATTCCAGCACTTTGAGAGGCCGAGGTGGGCAGATCACCTAGGGTCAGTAGTTCAGGACCAGTCTGGCCAACATGGCGAAACCCCATCTTTTAAAAAATAAAGAAATAAGGCCGGGCGCGGTGGCTCAAGCCTGTAATCCCAGCACTTTGGGAGGCCGAGCCTGGTGGATCACAAGGTCAAGAGATCGAGACCATCCTGGTCAACATGGTGAAACCCCCGTCTCTACTAAAAAGTCCAAAAATATTAGCTGGGCATGGTGGCGCGTGCCTGTAATCCCAGCTACTCAGGAGGCTGAGGCAGGAGAATTGCCTGAACCCAGGAGGCGGAGGTTGCGGTGAGCCAAGATCATGCCATTGCACTCCAGCCTGGGTAACAAGAGCAAAACTCCGTCTCAAAAAAATAAAATAAAATAAAATAAAATAAAGAAATAAATAAACATAAAAATTAACTGGGTGTGGTGGACATGTCTGTAACCCCAGCTACTCAGGAGGCAGGAAAATTGCTTGAACCTGGGAATCGGAGGTTGCAGTGAGCCCAGATGGCGCCACTGCACTCCAGCCTTGGCAACAGACTGAGACTTCCTCTCAACACAAGCAAACAAACCAAAAACACACTTAGCCGGCTTTTTTGCTTTTGCAAATTAGGAGTCCACCTGGTGGTCACAGGGGGAAAGGCATTCTGGGAAAGGATACCAGGATACAGAAAGCAATGCAAGAAATAACATTATCTCTTCTTAGAGGTTCTTAGTCTCCTGTCCCCAAACTTCTCAGAATTTTTCCTGTTGGGTAGGGAGTGGTGGCTCTCGCCTGTAATCCCAGCACTTTGGGAGTCCGTGGTGGGGAGATCACGAGGTCAAGAGATTAAGATTAGCCTGGCCAGCATGGTGAAACCCTGTCTCTACTAAAAATACAAAAAATTAGCTGGGTGTGGTGGCAGGGCACCTGTAGTCCCAGCTACTGGGGAGTCTGAGGCAGGAGAATCATTTGAACCTGGGAGGCAGAGGTTGCAGTGAGCCAAGACTGAGACACTGCACTCCAGCCTGGGCAACAGAGCAAGACTCCATCTCAAAATAAATAAATAAATAAATTAGTTGGGCATGGTGGCACTCGCCTGTACTCCCAGCTACTTGGGAGGCTGAGGCAGGAGAATCGCTTGAACCCAGGAGGCAGAGGTTGCAGTGAGCTGAGATAGCGCCACTGTACTCCAGCCTGGCAACAGAGCAAGACTCTGTCTCAAAAAAAATAAAAATAAAAAAATAAAAAATAAAAATAAAAATTAAAAAATTAAAAAAAAAAGAATTATTCCTGTTTGTGCATATCTTCTTCTAAGATGGAGTATGTCTATGACATACTCCATCATGACAGGCAGGCTGGCTCCTCCAGAGCTACAGGGCAGTATAGGCCAGTGTAGACCCGGGCTGGGGTGGAGGTCAGGGAGCTAGACCCAGCTTACCAGGGTGTGTAGGCAGCACTTGGCTTGGAAAGTCCCAAGAGGTGATCGGCCTGTTGGTGAACGGGGGCGCCCGCAGAGCCAGCGCATCTCCATTTCCCTTGCAGGTGGGGCGTGTGGAGTAAGCCATTGTGGTGTCCCGGCAGCGGCTTCCTGCTGGCTTTCTCGCTTCGCGTGGAACCACCTATCGGGAAAGGTGACCACACAGCAGCGACAACGTGCGCTTCCGCTGTTCAGAGGGCAAGGAACTGGAGGGGCCTGGGCTGAGCTGGGGAGACTTTGGAAACTGGAGTTTCCCTTGCCCCAAGGGTGTGTGCGGCCTGCAGACCAAGATCGAGGGGCCTTTAGGCTCCGGCGATGACACTGCGCTGAACGACGTGCTCTTTTTCTGCTGCCGCAGTTGAAAGGCGCAGCCGCAGCTCTCTTCTGGGCCAGGAGGCTAGTCCCACCTCCTGCTATTAAAGCTTCTTCAAGTTAACTTTGGTCTCACCTGTTTTAGGGATGGGGAACTGTGTCTTCTTTCCCCCTCCTAACCTAGCATTTGGTGAGGCATACATTTGGGTTTGGTCTCAGGGGTCCATGGTAGATTGCTGAAAGTTATGGACTCGTAGTCTAGAAAAACACACTTAAACACACAACTTTCACACAAGTGATGGAAGTCTGGCTTTTTCTTTCTTTCTTTCTTTCTTTCTTTCTTTCTTTCTTTCTTTCTTTCTATTTTTAGAGGAGTCTTGCTCTGTGGCTCAGGCTGGAATGCAGTGGCATGATCTTGGTTCACTGCAACCTCCCCCTCCTGGGTTCAAGGATTCTCCTGCCTCAGCCTCCCAAGTAGCTGGGACTATAGGTGCCTGCCACCACGCCCAACTAATTTTTGTATTTTTAGTAGAGATGAGGGTTTCCCCATGTTGGCCAGGCTGGTCTTGAACTCCTGACTTCAGGTGATCTGCCCACCTCAGCCTCCCAAAGTGCTGCGATTACAGGCGTGAGCCACTGCACCTGGCCTGAATTTTCTTAATCTTAGGTCACTGGTTCAGAAAGGAGACAACCTAGGCACCAAATGGGGGCAGGGTGTCCGCAGACACCTTCAGAAAGCCAGACTTACTGACCAACATGGAGAAACTACGTTGCTACTGAAAAAACAAAATTAGCCTAGCGTGGTGGTGCACACCTGTAATCCCAGCTACTCGGGAAGCTGAGGCAGGAGAACCACTTGAATCCGGGAGGCAGATGTTGCTGTGAGCTGAGATCGCTCCATTGCACTCCAGCTTTGGCAACTAGAGCAAAACTCTGTCTCAAAAAAACAAAAAAAAAAGGCAAATTCTACTAAATTATGGCCAGGCGTGGTAGCTCACGCCTGTAATCTCAACACTCTGGGAGGCCAAGGCGAGTGGATTGCATAAGCTTAGGTGTTGGAGACCAGCCTGGACAACATAGTGAAAACCCCTGTCCACACAAAGTACAAAAATTAGCAGGGTGTGGTGTTGTGTGCCTATAGTCCCAGCTACTCAGGAGGCAGAGGCAGGAGGATTGCTTGAGCCCTGGAGGTCGAGGCTCTGCAATGAGCCAAAATCAGGCCACTGCACTCCAAAAAAAATCTACCAAATTAGGAGGTGACAAGGCCACAATGGCTTTACAGTTCTGTTTTCTAGAGTTTAAGAGGCTATAGTGTCTTTTCCATAGTTTTCATTATTTTCTCCTACAAAACCCAAACAGTAGTCTTCCTAAATACTGATTTCCCGTTCAAGACCTTTGTCCTTGCTGTTCTCTCTACCCATAATCCCCCAAATATCCGGATGGGTAGCAAGCCCTCCAGATCTTAGCTCAAATTTAACTTTCTCAAAATTTCCCTATCGTAAAAGAGAGTCTCTCCATCAGTCAATATCAATCCCATTAACATGCTTTTAAAAAGGGTTTATTGGCCAGGCACAGTGGCTCACACCTGCAATCCCAA